AACGGGTAGAGCCCTTCTCAAACATGTTTGATTATTGTTGCAATCTTAATAGGTAAGTTCCTTATGTCAAAGGTAACTCTGGGTGGGGCTGGGACAAAGATAAAGCACAACTGACAATTGCACATTGAACACCTTGCAAATCTAAAGTTGTATCTTGGACTCCAAAAAAAATTCATTTGTTTTTTTTTAAGCTTCTGTCTGTCCATGATGCCTTATTCTGAGAAGCTAAGATAAAAAGGCTTCCGAACAAGTTTTATGGGAGGCGAAAGGGAAAACATCAGAGTAAAATTCAGGATGATATTATCTCAAACTACTCAAACTACTGAATCAGATTTTAGATTATTGAGGGGATCCCGAGCAACTATTTAGCCTTTCAGTTTTATGCTATCCCCAGCTGCAGGAAATGAAATCTATTGCAGATGGGCAATGCTATTTTTTAGATTTATATTTTCAGAAGACTGAGAAACCAGTAACAGAAAAGAAACCAAAACAGGAAATGAGTTCTAGGACAAGTTCCAGTTTTAGAGGAAGCCTTTTCTACAGAATATTTTATACCTGAACTGTTCTGCATTGTCTTTGTTATCTTGATAGCCATGAACTCTGGGGAGGGTAGAAGGGAAGGAGGCTGCTTGAAGGGGGAAAGTGTAGGTTTTAACTGCGGTTATCTCCCTGAGATGATGCTTCAAGGTCGCCCAGCTGGGAGAAGAACCAGCTGCATACCAACCTACACTTGAAATGACTGTTCTGAAAACATCTTTCTCCAACCTGATTAGATTTGGGGGATGGAGGGAGATGGGAAGCAATGTGAGGCAGTTAAGGGAGAAAAAAGAGTTGAAGCTAGGGATTTTGGTGGCCCGATTCTCGGTTCTGACCATGCATTACTGCAATATACTTGATTTCTAATAAAATTATGCTTTCTCAATAAATTGGAGCCAAGGATAGTTTGTGCAGACTCTGACTTGTGCAGAGTCAGGCCCCAGATCTAGCTAGCACAGTATTGACTATGCTGACTTGAGCAGCAACAGCTCTCAAGGGACTGAAGATTCTGCCTGAAAGCTAACACAAGTACTCTGTCGGCAAGCCAGGTCAGCAGATTTGCAGTTGTGGCTTACTCTTTCGCAATCCAGGTTGGTTTTTTTTAAGGAAATCATCACTATGTTAAAAAAAAAAAGCCTACATATTTGTAACATCTGGCGAAAACTATAGAAATACAAACCTCCCTTTCTCTTTGATTTGCTTTACTGCACTATTGTAGCATCTGGCAGGGGGCCTGAGTTTGCTGTTGTGGAATTGAGTTGAAGGTAACCAAGCAGGGGGAAGTGACCCTGAGAAATACTGCTTGTCTCCGACTTTCTATCTGGTTCATGGGTCAGCTCATCTTCCTTTATTTGTACTTGCGCTTTATTTGGCCAAGTGTGATTAGATACACAAAGAATCTGTCTCCGGTGCAGAAGCACTCGGTGTACTTGCAAAAGAGTAGAATATAACAACATTAAAGCGTACAACTGATAAAAGGGGCAAATAAGAAATGTAGAGAATAATAATACTGCAACCACATCCTGTGGGTTGATGTACATAACACAAAAAAAAAACCACCAAATCCTTAGTCACTGTATTTTGCTAGCTGTGAGAATTAGGTATTCAGCAGAGTAATGGCACGTGAGAGGAAACTATCCCTATGTCTACTTGTCTTGTCTTGGCATACAATGCCCTATAGTGCCATCCCAAGGGAAGGAATTGAATCAGATTATGTCCATGATGGCAGGGATCTTCAAATGTCTTCTCAGCCCTCCTTCTGACCTACGCAATGTACATTTCTTCTATGGCGGGCAGATATTCCACATCTTATACTCCACCCAGCTGCCTCTTGCCTTTACATCTTTCCACTGTGCCACCCACATCCCAGACAGTGCTCACCGTGGCCTCATTGCAAACACTACATTTCACCACATGCTGATGCATCTTTCCCTCCACGTTGATGGGGCTCTGGCAGACTCGGCAAGTGATCATAGGAGCACTGCCGCTCTCCGGCGATGCCATCGGGGAATACGGCGGGGGATCTTCTGCAGGCAGTATGGCTGCTTGGCTCCCATCATTGAGACCGCTGAAGGAAGAAAATCCTTGGAAGGGAAGAGAGAAAGAGTCAGGGTGAAAAGGGAGCACTCAACTGCCCTTCTACAGTGCTGCTGCTAAGTTTACAGGTCGCCCCCTCGATCCTCCTTCCGGATCTCTCACCTGCATTTCATTCTCCTCAAATTTCTCCTCCTCCACCACCACCCTTTGATTCCTGCCTCTAAATTTGTTCGTCTTCAATCTGCAAAGCCCTGTAGAGGATGGTCTTGATGGAGAAAGGGGAGATCTATACCAAAGCAATCACGATGAAAAAACTGCTTCGATCCAAACAATGAAAGCAGGAATGAGAAAACCTTTGAAGACACTTTCATAATTCACATTAGTATAAGTGAGAAGGTGGGCCGTAATCTACAAATATCTACTTTTGTCTGCAGACCCTTTACATCCTAAACTGTTTCAGCTTCTCCACTCAGGATGCCGCTATTGGGCATTGAACGCCAAAATAACTAGACACAAAAATAGATTCCTCCCTCCAATACCATCACTCTGCTAATCACCTAATTCCCATAGCACTATTTTATGCCTAAGGATATTTACTCATATAATAGGGCTGTATTGCTGCAATATTATCCTTCTCATCTTCCCTACTACCTTCTCCTATTGGTATCTTACGGTTTATCCCTTGTGGTTTGTATCTTATGTTTTATGGGCGTATCCCTGGTCTATGATTTTATCTTATTATGCTTTATGATCTATGACTTACCACTTTGTTATTGGTATGTACCCTGAGAGCTTATGCATTGGAGACAAATACCTCATGTGTTCAATCACACTTGGCCAATAAAGAACATCCCTATTCTGTTAGGATTGGTTACTACAGATAGTACTATTTTTTAAAGAAAAAAAAAACAGTTTTGGTCTTTGCACGGAATTGATTTCTTGGTTTGATCTACTTGGGACTGACAGCTATTAGCAATTTTGAGTAGCTTTCTTTTGAGAAAAGCATTTGGCCGGAACCAGACTGGTAATATCAAAAAATAGATTTACTGCCCAGGGTGGGGGTCTCCAACCTTAGCAACTTTAAGCCTGGCAGATTTCAACTCCCAGAATTCCCCAGCCAGCAAAGCTGAAGTTGAGTTGAAGTCCGCCAGACTTAAAGTTGCTAAGGTTGGAGACCCCGGCCTAGGGAACAGCAAGCCCCACCCCGGTCCGCAATTTAGGGATCTTCCTACCAACAGGGCTTGAGATGAAGTGTTGTCCTTATGATGGGATACCCAATTCTACCCCCAGCGAGCCACGCCCCAAGGCACAAACCATGCCTCCTGGCTTAAGGGCCTCTCCTCTCTGGGATCCTTCTTGTCTATCGCCCCTCTCCCCCCCATCCCGCTCCTCAACCCCGCCCACCGCCTCTCCTTTCTCAGCGGCCCTCCAGGGATTATAAACGAGGAAAGTCGACTCACCTTGTGGTGGGTTGGGTTTCCCTGGAGCACTCGAGCCGGGTCCCGACCCCAGACCCGCCGGCCCCACCAAACCTCCGGAGCCGAGGCCGCTCCCATCTCCAGACTCGGCCGGCAGCAGCGGGGAGCGTTCACCATCCGCAGCCATCACTGGTACTGCTGCACCCGTAACCGCCCCGCGTCCCTTTCGGCTTCCGTAGCGCGCACGTCCCCGCCCCTCGCTCCCGGATTACTCTCGTCACATGATGACCCGACGGCTTCATCCTATTGGCTGCAAGGAAGCGTCTCGGTCTCCATCATGTGACCAGAAACTGGTGGCGATAGGGAGCGCTGCGCTTCGGATTGGTCGGGGGAGACTGACGGCGTGTCGTCCGCTTCCTTCCATTGGACGCGAAGGATGCTCATTTTTTTCGCAGTTCGTCCCGTGACTATCTCTGCGTCTCCCTATTGGCTGCTTTTTGCAGGTGGTTCCCAGTTTGTCCCGAATCATCGTCTCTTCCTTGATTGGCTATTACACACGCGCACACACACACACACACACACACCCCTCTGGTCTTTCGCTCAAGGTGGCACAGGGTTTAAAGAGATCTAGCTTATGTGATAATAAACCGCGGGTGCTCATTGGCTCGCCTCTTCCACTGTTTTATAGTACGATCCACTATAGCTTACGTGAGGGAATGTCTGCTTTCCCATTGGACGGGTCGAAGTTCCCCATTGCTTCTCCTAACCAATCGCTCCACCTCTTCTGGAGAACTCCCCGCCCTTTCAATCATGATTGACGGTCCCCATGGAGATTCCGCCCCAGAGTTCGAATCTTCAATTTAAAGAGAAAAAGGACAATCCACTCATCCGCGCGCTCCGTTTCTGTTTCCAGGATGGGTCGCGCGTGCGAAAAAAAAAAAGCCAGGAAAATCTTCCACCAAAAGCTTTTGTCTTTTCTTCTCCAAGATAATTGCCTAGGAAGCTTCTTTATCCCGGTGCTTTTCAAATGTGGCCACTTTTCAGATGGGTGAACTTCGGCTCTTAGAATCCGCCCCCCCCCAAAAAAAACAAAAAAAAAATTGGAGAAAATGGCTGGGGAATTCTGGGAATTGAAAACCACCTGTCTTAAAGTGGCCCATTTCGCAAAAAGTTGGGGCTAAAGGAGGATTGGTAGGATTTAACTGTGATTGGTTAAATTGCTGTTAACTAATTAGATGGATAAGATTTAACAAAAAATGGTTAAATTGTAATTAATTGGATTGATAGAATTTAACTGCAGTTGGTTAAATTGCAATTAATTTGATAGGATTTAACTGCAGTTGGTTAAATTGTAATTAATTTGATAGGATTTAACTGCAGTTGGTTAAATTGAAATTAATTTGATAGGATTTAACTGCAGTGGTTAAATTGCAATTAATTAGATTGGTAGGATTTAACTGCAAGCCCTTTAGCATTTTGTTGCTTTTCTTTGCATATTTTACAGTTCTTATCTGACCTTTGGTACTGGGGCAACTGAACACAGTGCAGGTAGTCCTCAACTTATGACTGCAATGGAGCCCAACATTTATGTTGTTAAGTGAGTTTTGCCCCATTTTTTGACCTTACCATGGTTGTTAAGTGAATCACTGCAGCTATTAAGTTCATAACATGGTTGTTAAATGATCTGGCTTCCCCGTTGACTTTGGTTGTCAGAAGGTCGCGAAAGGTGATCCACCGTCTTAAATATGAACCAGTTGCCAAGCATCTGAATCTTGATCACATGATCACGGGAATGCTGCAAAGGTCGTAAGTGTGAAAAATGGTCATGTCACATTTTTCAGTCCTCTTGTAACTTCGAACGGTCACTAAATGAACTGATGTACATTGAGGACTGCCTGTATTATAGATGCGGGCTGTGATGTTGATATTGCATTTCTCTTTATATACACCAAGATTACATTAATGCTTTTGGTTGCTGCGACATGGCTCACATTTAATTTGTGGTTTTTCAGATCATCCTCCAGTTCTTTTTCCCCAGTACCTTAACTAAGCCAGCTATTGCCTGTTTTGTATTGGTTCCTGAATGCAGAACTTTGTATTTCTCACTAACTGAACAAATTGATGGGCTGCTCAACTCCAGTGGACTTGGGTGGTGTACAAAACTAGAAAAGAAAAGAAAAAGATTGGGACTGGATTAGGGACTTCTGTCCTCACTGTGAGTTGTGTTGGGGGTGGTGGTGAATGAAGGGAGGCTCAGCCAATCTCATTGTACTCTGACAATAAAGGTAATAATAAACTACTTTTTGTTAATTTTGGATTATGAAATCTAACACAGGGTGATTTTTTAAACACTCTCTCTATTTTTTCCCCAAGGAACAAGAATGGGCGTTGGTGCTTACCTGACACGCCATTTCTCTTCGAGCTGCGAGGAGCATCCAGAAGTGGGTGGTGCTTCAGTCTCTGCACTGGTAGGCTGAGCTTAATTTTGAGGAACGCTCCTCCTCCACATGACTCTTCCGTAGCGTTCCCCAGTTTTCCGAATACGAGAGGAAAAAAATTCGTGCTCTCATTCTAACTAGCTAAAGGTTCATTGGCCGAAACAAGACCCCACCAGATGGTGAAAGATTATGGTGGGGCTGGATGAAGAAATCGGGGGGGGGGGGGGATTGAAATTCGAGGGCAAGGCCAAACCTGATGGTGTCCCTAACGCAGGCATCAGAAGTAGAGGCATCCTACTCGTTGGCGAAAGCTTTAAGACGCCCGCCAATGGGAATTGGGTCATGTGTGCTATCTGGAGCACCGAAAGGGCCTTTTGAAGTTACCGCCCCTTCTGTTTCTGTCAGAGGAGTCGGTCCTGTCCTGGGGTTGACCCGTCCCAAAGGGAGGGGGCCTTTGATACCTAGGAGGGAAGGAGGCCTGGTAAAAGAGCCCAAAGGGGGCTTTCCGAAAGGGCTGAAAGGTTCTGGGTTCTGACTTCCGGGTAAGCCAATTTAACCTTGTTCTTGAGGTCTGCTTGCCAATGCTTCAGCCAGAGCAAATGGCGGGCAGTGACATGAGAAGAAATAGCTCTGGTGGAAAATTTAACAGAGTGGAAGGTGGTGTCGGCCAAGAACTCGGCTGTGGCCGTAATCTTGGCAATGTCCTGATGAGCTCTGACATTGGAGACTGGGACAAGCTGCTTGAGCTGGCAGAGCCAGCGAATGGATGACTGGATAAAGAAAGAGGCGGCTGTGGCCGATCTGATTGCCCAGGCATCCGACTGGTGGGCTCGGCGTAAGGCCAGCTCGGCCTGCTTCTCCTCCGGCCTTAAGGCCTCCAGGGGGTCACTGAGGGTGGAGAAGAGGCAAGACCCACAATGGGCTCATCAACCTCCAGAGTGCCCAGTAAATTGGAGAATTCTGGGTCCAGATTGAAACATTTTTTGTTGTGGGCTGACGGGGCGGGGAGGGGGCGCTGAAGAGGCCAACTGATTAACCACCAGGTCAGAGAAGATGGGAGGAGTTGGGATGATTTCGGCCTTGTTTAAAAATGGAGTCCTCCTCTTCCGGAGCAAGAGGAGTGGGATCAGAGGAGGCCTGAGTATTTAGGCCCGAAATATTCCTAGCCTTAAAAAGGAGGGATTTGAATAATTGAGGCTTGAATAGCCCCACAAAGGCGGGTTGGTTGGGAGTGAGACCCTCGTCCTCAGATATCTCCGCTTCTAATGGGTCCACCTCAGAAAGGGGTTCGCTATATTGCAAGGATCCCAAGTCAAACTCCTCCTCTTCTTGCCTTATTAGATCTAAGTCCCCTTCTTCCTCCTTCTCCTCCTCCCTTACTGAAGGGGGAATTTCCCCTTGATGGGGTACCTGTTCATGGAGTGGTTCCGATCTGGGCAGGGATCTTACTGATTGAGATTCATATTCAGGGGCCATCGGATGGAGACCGGGCCTGGCTATCTGCTGGAGTCCTTCCGCGATCCCTTGGCAGATAGCCAACTTCATCCAGGATCTCAGTTGCTCTGGAACCTCCTGTATGAGTGGTTCATCTTGGCGTAGACCGGTGGCTGTAGGGGAGACGGTAGCCTCTGGTGCCCATCTAGCCGGTGTTCCAGGAGCCTGATGACCCTGAGAGGGTGAGCTGCGCCTGGATAAGGAGGAATAGACTAGAGGAGTGGGGGGTTGAGTAGAGGTAGAGGGAGTGAAGGGTGATAGGACTGGAGGCACTGAGCTTGACTGTCTAGTGCATCTGTCAATTTCCTTTTCCAGCGCCTTGTGGCATCTTAAGGCATCCCTCTGAGAGGCTTTGGAAGTTTCCTTAGCCTGCCTGCGCAGATGGTGGGTTTTGGATTTGGCCTTCAACGAAGGACTTCTGGAAGGATTGCCCTCTGCCATTTCAAAAGGTAAGTGTATAATATAAGAATTAGTGCGAGGTGGTTGGCACGCCTAGGAGTCGACCTGCAACAAGGCCGGGTGCCCTAAGGAAAATTTACACCCCCTTGTTGAATACTCCCCCTTTTTCTTTTTTAAATAAAAATGCAAGCAAACAGGGTCCAATCAGCCGAATGAACGCCAGAGGCCTGATAAAGTGGAGAAGTAGGCCTTCAGCAGCTGCCCTCCCAGGCGGAACTGGGCGGGTGTGGTGCTGTAACTGCTGTGCCTGCTGAGAGAAGCTGCGGGATCAGCCAACGATTAGAATTCAAAGAATCAGCCTCAGAATGAAAGGCTGGATACAAGAAGGGAAAAAAAGGCTCTGAACAGGCCTATGGGTCCTGCTCCTTGAGTGAATTTGCAGCGCAGCGTTTAAAGTTGAAAAAACAAAATGGCGCCTGAGCATGATGCGGCGCTCAAAATGGCGGCCGCCTGCACCATGCTGACTTCGGGGCCTCTCAGCGGCTGAAAAAATTGCTCACTGGGAACCAGTCAAGGTCTGAAGGAACAGGAGCTCAGAAGGGAAGAGAAAAAAACTCTTCCGAGGGTGAAAACAGCGTTCGGTGGGGGGGGGGGGGGGGGAAAGGGAATGAATTAAAAAGAGATCAAAGCAAGCCGCTGTTAAAAGAAATGAAAATAAGCAAGCGGCAAGGAAAAAGGCAAACGGCAGGGGAGTTTGGCTATGGGGAGGGCAGCGTGAAGGCACTGCTGGCCCTCTCCTTTGCTACCCTCTGGGGCGAGAAAAAAAACACCTCCCTGGGGTGATTGGAAATCCGAAAACCAAATGCGCAGGGCTAAGGGGGGTAAAGAAAAAAAATACAATCTGAAATTGAACAAAGGAAATGAAGCAGAATGAAAATTTTCTTGGAACGGCCAAGGAGCTCTTCGAATTACTGCCTGTCTCGCACGAGGCTGAGCATAAACGGGAACGCTACGGAGGAGTCACGTGGAGGAAGAGGAGCGTTCTTCAAAATTAAGCTCAGCCTACCAGTGCAGAGACTGAAGCACCACCCACTTCTGGATGCTCCGAGCAGCTCTAAGGAGAATTAAATATTACTTTCCCAAACGTGTACCCAATTTAAAGTAAGTTGTTTGCCTGGATATGTTGACCTCATAACAGCTAGTATATTGACTATGTGTGGTAATAATGATACTGTATTCTTATCTTTGGAGAAAAGGCTTTTCCTAGCTCTTTCTCAAACTATAGTAATATTGGTTGAAAATAGCACGATCTCTTGTATTTCAGCTAGTGCTATAGAGCAGGGGTCCCCAACCACCAGGCCCCGGACCAGTACCGGTCTGTGGATCATTTTGTACCGGGTCACAAAGAATGAATAATCGTGATTAAAATATATATAAAAATATGTTTTTGCTTCCGGGTGTCTTATTTTGAAAGACAACCACTTCTGCCCTCGCCTAACTTCCACGCTTGACTCTTTGGTGCATTTTTATCCTGCATCAGCAATGCAAGCTAGCCCTCACAAAATGAGCCAGAAACAGAGTTCACTGGAGAGTTTTTTTGGAAAGGGTAAGTTACGGGTTCATCGCTTATTTATTTACTGTTATTAGAACCTTCACACCCCTACCCGGTCCTTGAAAAAGTGTTTCTGTATGAAACTGGTCCCTGGTACAAAAAAGGTTGGGGCCACTGCTACAGAGTGCTTAATCTTTGTCCACATACCAGAGGCTTCTGTGGCATTAAGTAATTGGGGCGTTTGGTCTTAACATTCATAAATTGACAAGCATGTGACACTAATTTGTAGTGAAGCTGTCACCAATTCTGACTTCCCTGTTTATTTGGGTCATGTGTCCACAAGAGAAACAAAATTGTTATCGTTAAATTGTGAGAAGCCATTCCCTCCCAGAAAAATAAAATATTTTAGGGAATATTAAAAAAGGCAGATATTTCCCTAAAGGAGAAACATGCTCTTGGAAAACAGCCCCCATCTTTCTTAATTGCCCCAGCAGGACTGGGCCAGCCTATCTATAAGACAAAAGACCTTCAGCTTCAGGGTGATGGGATTAAGACATGGCCCTTCAGGACATAGTAAGACCATTTAGCACAAGACACAGAGCCCACTGTATTGCAATCTCCTAAGGACATTGCATCACCCAGCAAGCTTCAACCAAACCTTGGAGTTCAGACAACCTCAGTTATGACCCATGCATAGTCCCATGGGAGTCTGAC